CGTGGCCACGGGCTCCCATGGAAATCGGGTAAAGACCGATCGGAATAAAAGCGCGGCCCGAGACAGCTCGCGGTTGCCGCGCCGTAGCGGCTGTGAAGCTGAGAACGCGTCGCGGAGAGGGAAAGAGAAAGGGAGCGGGTATGATTGAATGATCGAGCGAGCGAAGGTGAGTGAAAGTGAGCAAGAATGAATGAGCGTCGGAGAATGAATCGGGCTCAAAGCGGGCCGAACCGGGCCGGTCGGATCCCAGCGACGAGCAACTCGGTTCCGATCGCGTTGCTTCGGTGATCGTTTGATCGGGCACCAGACTGGTTGGGACGATTCAACGGCGACAGACTCGCGCGTCGGCTATCGAAAATTGGCAAGGATCCTCCCTGTCGTCCTTGGCACGTGCGAAACTCGAACAGAAGAATGACTCACCAGGATACGCGTAATGTTTAGTTCCGAGCGCTGCCCCACTGGAACAGAATGCCAGACGATAAATCCGATTTGAATATCTCGCGACATCCCAGCGACGAAATCCTTGACGAGATTTCATTTACTATTTTGCATCGCGAACAGAGACAAACTCGGGACAGCGAATGCGAGCGTTCTTTGCGAAGTCAATTTCGGCATTGCACTTTGGAGCTGCTGTACTTATACAGGATGTAGCGAAAATCGTGGAACAACCAGCCGGGTAGTGAAAAAATACGTCATGCAAAAATACTACGTGCAAAAATAAGTCGAGGAAGAAGAGTAACGTTTTTTCATTTAAGATTTTGTTTTCGAGAAAACTGCGATGGAAGATGCATGAGGTTCGCGTTGTTTGTAGTATGATGGGAAGTGGAATTGATGTCTCATGGCCAGACGCGCCAGTTGATTCCTATTCAGTAGTATTATATCATGCGTAAAATCATCATGCGTAAAAATTACCGAGATCTATGAAACGCATTTTTTTAAATTTTCGTTGTAGACTCAGATAAAAAATGTGGAAAAACATGAGTTTCCTTTTTTTTTTGTCATTTCAGGCAATAGCAAAATTAAAAAAAGAAACATTATAGTCATTGTCTAATAGACTAATTCTGTCATCTAAAAACAATTCAAGTCATTCCAGTTTCAAAAAAGTTACACCGTTTTTCAAGTGTCCTTGACCAGTTAGTTGTGGCGCCTCTTTTTCAAAGCGGGCACCTATGTGTGCATACTGTGTCGCGAGAATCAAGCGATGACGAGTATACTCGTCAAACACAGAGTAAGTGTCGCTGTTGAAATATTGGATCGAAAATACGGTTTTATTTTATAAAATTAACAGTTTCGTTACTAATATTTACTTATTCACTCAACATTAACGCGAGAAAAATCAAATACTTATGAAAGTTAAAAATTCAAATCTCTGCTGTAGAGTGGTATTCAGCAAAGCAGGGAACGATACATAATGATACATTGCACGTCGAACACCACTGTCGCGAATTATTCATATAATTATTCATATGTTTTATTTGTTTGTTTTATTCTGGTCCGGCCTCAAAGTATTCTAAACATCTTGAAATTTCAGAATATGTTTTTGTTTTCACAAAAGTTACAATTTAAACAGCCAATGGTCACTACTTTTTACGCACGACGAGTATACTCGTCGCAACACAAAATACTGCCACTTCTCCATGACGGGTATACTCGTCAAACACAGTTAACACGTTCCGTGCCACGTGTACCATCGATGGTACACGCTTGCATGTTTACTTAGTGAACCGAACAAATTGTTTACAAGAAATTTAGAACCGAAGAATCAATTTCCACCGCAAGAATGGGCGTTGATAAGTTTTTGTTACGTTGTTATGTGTACGAGAATTAATAATTGCACGTAATACATCAAGTTTTAGTAAAATATCAAAGTGTGAAGATTCGAGTAAAAAAAGCTCGGCACGGAACGTGTTAACTGGTTAAGTACATGGCCCTAAGTATATCTCAATGACCAGACTTTTTCTTTATCCACTGTCAACCCACCTACAAGCGTTTCTTTGTTTCCTTCTCCGCATCCGATAAATGTATCGAAGGTAACACGGGATGGAGCAGCCATACTTGCCGAGGGTAAACGGGTTAAGACTTTGCCGGAGATCTTTCTGAAATATTAGGGCGTCTGGAGCTGCGGAGCTTGATTCGTCGCATTCATCGGAGCGAGTTCTCGCTTACGTATGTTGGTTACGTGGCACCGCGGTATCGGGTTCGTGAATCGACTGGCTATCTTAAGTGAATAGACGATGATTACGAGTTCTCACGCATCCCCGAACACCAGAAGCCCCTCGTTATTTGTTATTTGACTCGCGAGCCGACCGATCCTATCGCCCGAGTGCCGTCTGCATGGTTATTCCGTCGAACCATTCGGAATCCGTTTCGCAGCCGTCTGCCGCGCCGCGCCGCGCCGCGCCGTTCGCTTATTTAGTTTCACAGTTGAGCCGATAATTGATCTTGTCGCGCGTTTCTCTACCTTTCCCGCGAGGATCTCGATGAAGGCTCTCGCGGATGTGGGAAAGACTTTTGAGGGGACGTATGGCGCAATCCTCTTAGGGTCGGGTAAAACGAGAAACTAGGAGAAACGAGTGTCCCGTCTCTGGACGTCGTTGAGCGTTACTCAAACAAATTGCTCGTCAAAGGGACGAAGGGCGGGCGCGGGGCTGGCTCAATTTCATAGCTTGCAGTGCGCGCGATCGTTGTCCGTATGTTCAGGGGCCTGGCCGTTTGTTTGCGATAGGTTTGCTGGAGGTTTGCGAGAGGCCAGCGGCGACTGCGACGGCGACGGAAAACGTTTCGCCCGGCGGTAATTGCAGAACGGGAGGTTGCGCGGCGGCGGCCCACCCCTCCATCCGGTTTTTCATTTGGCCCCTTTTAGTGTCGACCTTAAAATAAACTTTGTAGCCCTGCGTCGACGTCGGCCGGCGTCTTCGTCCTCCTCCTCCGCCGCGGTCGTTGTCGTTCCCGCGGGTCTCTGTACTTCTCTCGTCCTCGAACCTCCCTTCTCTACGCCTCTCTCTCTCTCTCTCTCTCTCTCTTTCTCTCTCTCTCTCTCTCTCTCTTTCTCTTTCTCTCTCTTCCTTCCGCGCCGTCTCTCCTCTCTTTACGCCTCGTCACGCCAAGTCGACCGAAGAAGCGCGGCAAGGAAATGAAAGAGGGCTCGAGGCGGGAGGAGAGAAAGAGGAGAGGCGCCGCTCCGAGAGACACCCCAAAGAGTTACAGCTTTCAATTTAGTAGTGCAAACACTCGCCGCGAGTTAATATCTCCCTTCCATTTCCTGCTCTAACCTCGTCAACTCGGTCCGCGAACGAGCCCGTGAAACTCGCTGCCCGCTGTCCGGAACTCGAGTCGCGCGAGTCATCCTCCTCGGGAACGATTAAACCGAGCTAACTGGACCGTGCTGCTAACCGAATCGCGTCACTCCGCTCGGAGCCGCGTCCTTGTCGTCTTCGTCGTCGGCGAGCACCGGGGAACGATACCTGCCCGCGACAGCGGCGATTACGTGTCCTTGTTAATACGGCGACGCAAATTGGATACGGGCTGATTCGAAGTTGGACGGGCGAGACAGCTCGCGAACCCGGTCGATTACCCGCGAACGGGGGCAACTCTCGTTATCCTATTTCCGAGCCGAGCGCTTCGAAGTTTCGCGTTTGTTTCTTGGATCCAAGAGGCTGCGCTGCGACCCTCGATTCGGCGGGATCGAGGACAAATTGTCGAATCGCGAGTTATCAAACCCTGTGAATGCCGGGAAGGTGTGTTACAAATTATTTTTAAAATTAAAGAAAAAGAAATTTCTTCGTGGTTCTGACGGGGCGAGTGTCGAAAGATCGATCACAGTACTCTTTCTAGAAACCAACCCTGCCTCTTGTTCTTTAATATCCGAACTGTAAACATTTTTGGAAAAGATGTATCATAACTGAGTACGCTTAGAATCATTTCTAATTTCGTTTATCAATTTTTTTAGACACATTTTTAAGGTAGTTCTTCTAGACACGTTTTTTATAGATCTCAATGAAACATGTGAAAATTTAAATGAATTCTTAAAAATTGAATGGTCAATAATGTTTATACTCCGGGTCTGATTAGACCCGAGCTCCGCAGTCCGAGTATCACGATAGTGCTGTGACCTTGGGTCGTTTGCCAACTTTTTGTTTCTTTCTCTCGGGCAGTACCGAATCTTATAAATAAGATCTATTTAGGAAGCTATACCTGAAGATGGCAATACCTGGTACAAATTGCGCATTTATGAATATGGAATTATATTTACTTATGGAAATAGCTTTAATACTTTTCACTATTCGAACTTTCAATTAGAACTTTTATTTCATTAAAGAAGGTATAAAATATGTTCTCTCTCTATGCGATGTCTGCGTTAACTGACACGATTCAACACGTTAAAAAGACAAAATACAAAATCACATGCCTTCGCGATTAAATCATATCAGGTGGTAAATAAAAGACTATTTGTCAGATTGATTTTTGTATTCAATCTATTTGTTGAAATTCAACAATGAGTACCTCGAAAGATCCTCAACTCCCCTTATAGATTCACTCAAATTTTCAAAATAATGTTATTAATCGTATTTGTTCATATTTGTAAGAGTACTGTTGAAAGGATAACTGTTGCATCAATCACAAAATTCAATTTCATACGTATAAAATGCATTTGGTTATATAAAGTGGAAATACAATGGGTTAGAAAAACTGTATTAAATTTTGCGTTAATTTGGCTTCGCGTGCAAAGGGTTAACTTTCTAAACATGCCTCAACGAATGCACCTCGTCGCAACAACTTCGAGTTGTTTGCCATCGCCTGGAGTTTGTCCGTTGAAGTAGCTGAAACAAAAATTCAAAATGCAAATTAACAAAATGCGGAGTAACGTCAGTTATTATCTGGCGCTAGTTTCCCGCGACAACCAGAATTCTCTTCGTGACCATCGCATCCAGTTCGCGTTAAAATTTTCTCATTTGGGCGAAGTTTGCAAGGGTGGTATACAGGGAACGACTGTGTTGCAGGTCGCAGGTGAGCCTTGAGGATGTGATCGAGAATGCCCGCAGGACCGCGTGAGATCGTGATCGCCCCGAGATGGCCGCGACGCCAGTTCCTTGTCGCGTTTCAACGTGATCCCTCGAGGAGGAGCCAAGAAGGAGTAGGCGGAGGCGGCGGAGGAGGCTGAGGCAACACTCGGGACAGTGGACTTGGAGGAGCGATGCGCTGAGGGCTCGCCTCGAGCGGCTTCCACCACGGAGGAGGACAGACGCAGACAGCCAGCGCGCCGAGTCAGAATGGAGGAGGTTCGGGGCTCGCCGGCGCGGCGGCTCTCGCAAATCCTGGACCCGATCGCTCGGCTCGCGACGGATTTCGGCTCGAGCTCGGCACCGTGCAGCCCCAGACTGGGGGTCCGGGCGCACGAGGCGTCGGGCACGATGGTGCAGGCGGCCGGGCCGGCCGAGTCGGGGGCCCGCAGGCAGCCGGAGGCGAGTCGAGGGCTGCCGAGCGGGCCGGAGAGCCCCCGACTGTGGCCGAGGCAGTTCCGGCAGGCGCCGGCCCCGCCGCCGCGGCCCAGACACGCGAACAGCAGCCAGCACGGGGCCCAAACCGGCCACCAGGCCCCCGCGGCCACCAGCGGCAGCGGCAGCGGCGGCAGCAGCAGCAGCAGCAGCAGCAGCCTTCAGCCGCCGGTGCACACCAGGGACTCGCCGTACGTGAACGTGCCGAATCTGCTCTTCCAGAAGGAGAACAAGGGCTTCTCGGAGACGGCGAGGAGCGCCGGCTACGTGGAGCTCAGGGAGACCAAGCCAAAGTGCAGTCCGTACGACTTCACGTCCGAGCCGTCCGGCCACGTGGAGTACGCGGACAAACGGACGTTCGCCGCGCAGACCGACTTCGACGGCTACGAGAAGGAGCAGCAGCACGCCGTCGGCCTCGCCAGGGCCAGGTCGAACTTCGACCCCGGGCCCTCGCCCCAGAGAACGGCCCAGCAACACTTCGACCGCGCGTACTCGTTCTCCGGAAGACAGCCGGAGCCGCCAACCCCGGCCAGAGTGTTCACGGAAAACCGACTGTTCCTCGAGCAGCAGAGGAGCACCGCCGTTCCGGCGGGCTCGGACGCCAAGAAGGAGAAGCTCGAGAGCAGACCCGCTTACGGCTCGTCCAAGAGCTTCGATGGATACTCGACCGCCGTGGAGGATCTTAATTGGCAGGAGAGGTGCCTCGAGCTGCAACTCGAGCTACACAGAAGCAGAAGTCAGGCCACCAGGGTGCGAGACATGCTTCGCGAGAAGGTGAGTTTGTTTACTTTCTTCGTTTTCGCTCTTTCTTTTTGCGCTCGCGGACGCAGCCCGATCTTCTCGCTAGGCATCTCGGGATGCAAATAGGAACTGGCCAAATGTACAAGGGGTCTAGAAGTCGGACTGAGTCTTGCTCTCGGTTCAGCGAAATGCAGGCTGGTTCTGTTGCTAGGCATATTGGTATGCATAATAGGACTATTCGAATGTACAAGATATTTAGAAATTAGACTGCAATCTTCGATTATCTTCAGTGACATGCAAAACGATTCATCTGATAGAGATCTCAAAAGCATAGGTAATGTCTCCCTTACCGACGCTCAGATTGTAAAATGGATAATTTCGGAAGAGGAGATACGATTATTCAAGCCTTGCGCCTCGTTTTTATAATTGTGGACAATTTATAACTACACAAATAAACCGCAAGGCTCGAATAATCGTATCTCTTTTTCTCCAAATTGTCCATTTTTGTGGTCAATCTGGGCGTCAATTAGAGAGACATTACTTTATTTGGATATATGTACAAGGTGTTGCGTCCTCAAATATCGAAGTTCGTGTACCGAATTGAGCAGATTGCAATGGAACAAATAATAATGTATTTGAAACTTTAACAGTCTAATAGTTTAAAGTTTAATGAGATATCGCGCTGTGAAATGTTAATAATGCATTCGGTATATAAATGTAACCCGTTCTTTCTTCCACCGCGTTGCGACGCGTTCTGCTATGTTCGTGATGTATCGTGCTCGTTGTTACCTCGGTTGTTATTTCGCATGTTCTAATTGGTCGTAGGTGTGTCTAATAATCGTCTTAACCTTTAATTACTACACCCATTGAAAGTTACGTAACCACTATTAGCGGTCTCGGAGACCGCTAATGTCTGTTACGTTATTATTGACACGAAAGTGTTAAATAAAAAATCAATAGTCATTACGTCAATGATGATAAGGTGCGAGTTCTATCGAGTAGAAGCAAGCGTATTAAAAACGTTCCACTTTTTACAATTTTCCTTACAACTATAGATAAAAATTATGAATGAGAATAAGTAAATAGTTAGTAATAGTCTCACAGACCGAGAAATAGTAATTAACGTAAGTGCAAGTGTGTGATATTGTCTTCGAGGAAATGTTTTTTTTTCTACAGAATAACAAATTCGAATTCTTAACCAATTAGCTGTGTTCGACGAGTATACTCGTCATGGAGAAATGGCAATATTTTGTGACACGACGAGTATACTCGTCGTGCGTAAGAAATAGTGACCATTGGCTGTTTAAATTGTAATTTTAAAGAAAACAAAAATATATTCTCAAATTTCAAAATGTTCAGAATATTTTGAGGCCAGTCCTGCACGAAGTTGTTTACATTGTTATAAAAATAATATTAGAAAAGAATCACGGTATTGGTGTTCGACGTGCAAAGTGCCATTATATATTGTTCCTTGCTTTGCTAAATACTATTCTCTCTACAGCAGCAATTTGAATTTTTAACTTTTATAAGTATTTGATTATCCCTGGGCTTTTCGTTTATTATATATATGGTATATGTCAACGTCAAGTGAATAAGTAAATATTAGTAATAAAATTGTTAATTTTATCAAATAAAACCGTGTTTTTGATCCAATATTTTAACAGCGACACTTACATTGTGTTCAACGAGTATACTCGTCGTCGTTTGTTTCTCGCGACACATATAGATGCGCGCTCTGAAATGCAGGCACCACAGCTAACTGGTTAAGAGCATCTTGCCCATGAATTCGCTCAGAGAGAACGCGAAGTGTCCCGATGTCACGCGCATTTTTGGGACCGTCGAGTGTCCAAGCTATCCCATCCGACCGTGACAAATCTCACGTTGGGTCAACTCGAGATCGGAGACAAGAAATAGAAATCTAGCCCGCGCCCGTTCGAAGTTCACGCGATCAGGATGGGTTAGGGCAGCGCGGCCGGGAAATTGCGTTACCGTTGCACCGGCACCGGTCTGTGAAAAAAGGCAGCCGGACGAGATGGCTCGACTCTCCGCTCTGCCTCGTCTCGACCCATATTTTCCGGCGGGTCCGCGGGGACCAATCGCGTCAAACGATCCGTGACTAAACCAATAAGCGATCCCGTTCCGTGCCGCCGGCGAAACTGCCGCCGCTGCCCGATAACCATTCTGTTTTCCGCGTTACCTCGTGTTCGACGATCGAGTGGAGGGCTTCCGTGAAACGAGCCGGGTCGGGCTCGGAATCGCTCGGTATCGCTGCCCCTTCCTGCGGAAAATTCATCCGGCCAGAGCGCGACCGATTTCCGGATTTCCAGCTCCGCCGCTACGTTTCCATGCGTCAGCGGCATCGCCGTCCAACGATTGGGATTCCGCTGCGCGGGATATTTCTGTTTATCAACGACACCGATACGATCCGAAGCTATTCCGCAGTCTGCAAATTCCAGGACAAAACTCTTCTCGCGTCGCCACGATCTTTCCATCGCCGGGTCACGCTCCCGCAGACCTTTCCACTTATTCCGTCATTTTCTGGCTTCCTGCGAAAATATCGCGGCGCCGTTCCCTCCGCAGCTATATTCCTCTGCATCGACGCGAAAGTTCATGCCGGAGGGACCGTAGAGCAGCATGAGTTAGTATTTTTCAAGATCCTATCGAACGATGAAGCATCACAGCGAAATCTTTTCTTGCGAAAATATGGGAGCACCGTTCTAGATCCGCGTTTCTCTGCGTCAACGGAAAAATTTACGCGAGAGAGACCGTGCAGCTGAATTTAAAGTTGTTCGAGGCCCCATCGCGAGAGGAAGCGTCCCGGCGAAATCTTTTCTTGCGAAAATGTCGCAGCATCGTTCCAGATCCGCATTTCTCGGCGGCGAAGTAAAAAATTTACCCGAGCGAAATAGAGAGAGAGAACGAGAGAGAGAGAGAGAGAGAGAGAGAGAGAGAGAGAGCCGTATAGCGGAAGCTAAAATCGATCAAGATCCTATCGAAAGTAGGAAGGTAAAAAGAAGCATCCCGACGTATCACGGTATCGATCGCAAATAAAATTGAATATGGCGAGTGAAATAGTTGAAAGAGCCGCCATTCGCGATACGAGGCGGAATATACGGCTCGCCGCGCCGCGGAAAGCAGGCTTTAGCCCATTCCCCGTTCTCCTTGGCGCGCGCGCTATTCGGATCGAAAGCGATGTGGAACCGGTCCTCGTTACGATCCAGGAACGATTTATATCGTTCGCGGGCGGTTTTATTCGACGCCCGACATACGTCAAATGAATTGCAGAAGGGTCAACCGTGTCGAGAAACGAAGGGGGGCAGCGAACGGCGGGAGCAAAGGGAGGGAAAAACCGCCGCTTAGGTACATACGTCTTTAGTATGCACAGTCACGCGTCACGATTTAACGCGGCTACCCCAGATAAGGCACATAGCCGACGGTGTATGGGGTGCGGGGGAATGGTCTCTTTCGTTCTTCAAAACCCCCTCGTGCCTCTTAAACGGAATTGAATCACTTACCAGACAAGGAGTCTCCGCCAGGTATCGTTTATGCCCCGTTGTTTTACTCCGCGCGAATCTTCCCCCCACCCTCCCTCTTCTTATGCCGTTAATTAGCTCTCGATGCGACGACTCGCTACGACTTCCGCTTATCAATCTTTTCACATGTGCCCGCTAAAGTCTTGTTTTCATCGCGAAGGTTCGAACCTCGCCGTATTTACTTGTGCTTAGGCGAATCTTTGCACAGCACTGTATTACATCGTATCTGATGTACAAGCAACTGTGCCAGCTATTTTTTGCGTTCCTTGAAACGTTAAGTTCCGAATAACAACTCCAAAAATTCCGACAATATCGATATCATTTTACGACCGTCGCAGATGCGCGATGTGTGTTCTTTATCAGTTCATGATAAGGTACTGCAACAAATTTTGAAATGAACAGTATTGTTTAGCTAAAGGCAAGACAGTTGTATAATTAATTTGTTTCAATTGTAATTAATCAAAAATACTTTATGTTTGAATTGTTTTGACTCTGGTAGCGAGCGTGTTAATGAAAGCGAAACTGGAAAGTTAAAATTTGCCGTAGGAAATATTAGTGCGACTATTTTGTATTGGAAAAATTACTATTAAGTTTATTTCAATATATTAGGATACACATGAATTTTGAAAACTACTCAAAAATTAATGTCACTTACGATATTTTCTATCAATCTGCTCTCCATTATTTACAGAGTCACAAAAAATTCGATGGTCCTAAGAGATTAACTTTAGAACTAATTAGAGATTAAAAATAACTGATCTGTCTCGTCCAATAAATATTGTAAAATCGCATTCCTAAAACATTACTCCAACAATTATTTAAACAAAGCAATTTAGACAATTATTTTTAATAAAAGTATGTTTGTAATTCCAATAGTCCTAATTATCGGAATTCGACCGCCAATGGTACGTTTAATGTTAAATAGAAATACTGCAGTTTCTATCTGATACGACAAAAGCACACGCCTGTTCGCCAAAACCTATAAGCATATAAATAATTGAACGATCGACTAAAAATTCAGAAGTCGAATCAATCGGTTAGTTCGAATGTTGGCTCGCAACGATGGTTAAGAGAACGTTAAGAGACCGAGCCTCGGGCAGCGAGGATTCCGGGATTTATAGAGTGAAACGGTACTGGGAAGAATGGAATTCCGTGGCAGAGATCGAGCGAAAGAGCCACGTAGGGTTACAGGTCACCGAGTCGCGCTCGATGGCGATTCCGTGGCTGGTCTCCGGCGTTCCTCGAACTACCGGGAACTCTATCCGCGGTCGCTCTCCGGTTCGTTACAAGGTTCTGCTCTAACGAGACCCGGCGCGGCCTCGCTCGTTTTGCCTCGCTTTGCCTCGTTCGCCTCGCAGTTGTAAAATCAGCTGACGCGAGAGCTCGGTGAGAGGCGGTCTCGAGCCTCCTTATCGGCTTCGTATCGCGCCTCCGAGCCGAACCCCGTTACGCGTTCGCTTGCATCACTCTCGGATCGTTGTCCTGATTGACGTAACGTTT